GCAAATCCAAATCCAAACAAAAAGTTAATTAAATAGAAAAGCTGCCTTAAAGCTCACTTCCCAATTTTAGGGGCCATCCATTGTGCTTTAAGTACTCCTAACAGCTACCTTCTAAAAGGCATGGATACTGGTAAAAAGGAAACTCAATGTTCCCGGCTCACAATGTTTCCATGTCTGCCTGGCAGATGACAGAGCAATAAAGATGATCTACCTACTCTCTGCCACGGTATCTGTTGCTGAAAAAGAGGTTTGCTTTTTATACCCCAAACATTCAGAAGTTCTCTAGGCCAAAGGTCATATGGGGAAAGGGTCTCTGATCTGATCATAATTCTGTTTGAAAGCTTCAATGAAAGTCAAGTAAAGGTTGATGTTGGTGGCCTAAATATTTGTTCATCAGGAGTGAGCTACTTAGTTGAGATTTCTTGCTTCAGAGTAAGGTAAGCACTTTAGAATTTCTGAACTCTTACCATCTAAGCACAAATGGACATATTGGCTGGAAACAGGTCCTCTGTTCAGAACTGATGTTCTTTGGTGCATTTTGTTGATTTGGAAACATAACTGTAATTTTAAAATACATGACAGACTTTAGCAACCTCACATCTGAAGAAGCAAACACAGTTAGGGCCAGGCTGGTTTCCCACCAGCAATAAGAATACAGTGAAGGTGCAGCAAGAAACAGCATGGGGCTGGGGCGGTGGTTCAGTGGTTAACAGCACTGGCTGCACTTGTAGAGGACTAGGATTCAATTCCCAGCACTCACATGGTAGCCTACAACCATCTCTAATTCCAGTTCCAAGGGACTGGACATCCTCTTCTAACCTCACTAAGAACCAGGCATGCACAAAGTACACAGACATATATGCAGGCAAAACAGCCACACACATATAATAAAATAATTAAATTTTTTAAAGAAACAGCACATTGCATAAATGTGTGTGTGTGTGTGTGTGTGTGTGTGTGTGTGTGTGTGTACTGTTTACCTAAAAGGCGGCATTTTGGAGTCTTAAATCTACTTTATGGACAGGAACTCACTCAAGCTCCATCAAATCCTCTGCTTTTTAAATCGTTCCATCCTGCTATATAAAATCTACACTGTAGATTGCACAGCCCTCCATCCATACTCTCAGCCTCCCTAAGTTTGAATAGTTCATGACTATCATGAACTATTTACACTTAGACAGCCACAGTCCTTTCTAATTCTTGGCTCAAATTTGAGGAAACTTACTCAGGAAGGAGCTTGGAAAATACTTCCCTAAGTCATCCAAGAGGGTGGAGACCAAAACACAGGCACTACAGCCTTCAAAGGCACGGTAGCTGGCTGGGAGGAACTTTTTCCTTAATCCAAAGACAAAAACATGCAGAAAAGACTGTTTTTCACTAAGTTTTAAGAGATGAAAAATTACTGTAGATGCATCTAGAGCCTTAAATGACCGGGTTTGTCTTAAGGGACTATCCTTTCACACACCTTCCTTCTAAATATCACTCCTGCCCCAGACGGATTTGAAACATCAACACCGAAGGGGGAAAAGTTCAGAAAAACCCATGGTGAATTAGGGAAAACAGACTCCATGCCAAGAAAACAAAAACTTAAGAGGCACAAGGGAATCTACTCACAGGAAAAAAAAAAAAAAAAAGTCTGGGAGAGTCCTGTCAGGGAAATTCCTGTTCTCCCTAGGAAAGGGTCTGATTTCCCTGAGCACAGAGATAGTGTTTCCTCCAGCAAATTCTCACCATTTTAAACCATCAGGATAGCCAGAAAGTGCGCCATGCTCTTTTAGAACATCTCCCTTCATCCTCTATTTTGTAAGGTGCCTTCTCTATTTCTTGTTGAAGCTTCAGACAGTGGAATCCTCAGTAATGAAAATGCTAGGTGTTTTTCACTAATGGCCTATTACATAAGGGACTATACGAAGTACTTGCAGACATTAAGTCCTTTAGCTTGTACAGAAATTCCTGTAAATTGCTAGTATCCATCACTTTTAAAAACTAAATAAATAAACAGAGTCTCCCAGAAACCAAGGGAATGGCCTAAAGATACACAGATCCAGCATCCAAATCATTGTCTCACTATTCTGCTTCTATCATGAGTGAATATGAATTTGTTCTGTGGGTAAAGGCACTTGCCACCAAGCCTGATGAGCCAAGTTTGATACCAGGGGCCCACAGAGTAGAAGAAGAGAACTTCTAAAAGTTGTCCTTTGACCTCCATGGGCACACCATGGCACTCGCATCCATACACACATACAAATAAAAAGTGCAATTTAATCTTTTTAAAAGAAAATTGATTTTCAACTTGTAAAAGTTGGTTTATTGCACCAGCACTTGGACTAGAAAAGCAATGCATGGTACATTATGTCCCTGAAACTGTACCCACAAATCACAGAGACCCCAGATCACAAGCAATATTCGGAAAGCACCTTGCAAATAGGTGTCTAAGTGTTGATTAATTTAGTTGAGGTAAGGAGTGGAATGGAAGAGATGGGTTAAGACCTCAGGTTGACATGCTTAACCTTTGGTTTTATTCAGGATGCATAATTAGAGCAAGACTTCTCAGTGCATATGCTGATCTGCAAATATAATCACATTTACTTATGGATTATATGATCAACTATTTCTCATTGTTGGATTCTGACGGAACCTGTACTCAGTTTTTCCATATACACCATGTATAAACACTCATGTCATATAGGATATAAGCATATATGATGTCATATTGTAACACATAAGACTCATTCATATGCCTCTCCAGTTATCTAACATTTGCTTACTATATCTTCAGCAACCCAAAACCTTAGAGAGAAACAGTAGGCCAGTGTTCTCTCTGCACACAAAATAGATATGACAAAAAGCATGTACTCAGAGCCAGTCATCCCACACTGAAAATTTGTGACCTTTCATTTTACTTATCATTGTTCATGATCTTGGAATTGGTAATATACTAGGCTCTCAGTCTGCTGGTGATAAGAAATAAATAGAAAGGGAATATTGGAGGCTGGAGAGGTGGCTCAGAAGCTAATAGTTTGTGCCGTGCTTGCAGAAAACCTGAGTTCAATTTCCAGCACCCACACTGAGCAGCTCACAACCATCTGTAACTCCAACTCCAGGGACACCAGACACCTCTGGCCTCTATGAGCACCTGCAAACACACACACACATACACACTTTTCTTTAAATCTTTTTGTTGTTGTTGTTGTTTTAAAGAAAGGGAATATTGCTAGAGACAGTATTTTCTGTCAGTAGATGTGACAGCTGACAGCAAATAATAAATAAAATAATAGAAATGATCTTCAGGGTGGAGAGACCCTTCAGACGTTAAAGGCTAAGCTCGGGACCAAAACATAACCATGATATTCACATACAAAGCGACTCATCATGGTTCTGAATTCCATCCTCTGAGGCTTCATTTTGGAATCTTAAAATTAAGAGACCTTTTTCTGACATGCTGGAATCCCCTCCACAAAATTCCTGCCAGTTACTGCCACTTGCTGGTATGGTGGGAATCCCTGCCTCTGCCATAAGCTGGAACCATAACGATTTCCCCTTGCTCCAGTTTATGGCTGAGCTGGGCCTTGCAACCACGCTTCACTATGCTTTACTCACCCTCTTCATTCTCAGATGGACTCTGTGTACAGATGGCATTGCAGAACTAGTCAGAGACCGGCTGGGGCTCCGAAAAGAACATTTTATCATCAATGTTGAAGGCTGACTGTACAGGCTGGTAATACAAGCACTATACCATCTCCTGTGACTAATCTGTTTTTAGGACAATACTGAGAAGTGACACCACTTCTAAACAGAAAGGGAAATAGGCTGACCTCTCCGAGTGTATTCTCAGCCTGTGACGTGATGAAAGATTTATGTAAGCAGCCTTGAACATCATGTATATCCCCAGGCCCCTTGTGAGTGAAACAGGATGCCCTTGATGACAACTGAAAGCAATAAGACAAGCATCTATACACTGTCTTTGCAGCCCACTCAATGTGGACCTGAGCCCTGACTCCCTCATCTCTACTCTGTTTTCTTCCTCTCTTTGCAAAGCGTGTGTAACGAGCTGCAACACCTAACTATTAGAAGAAGATATCTATGATAAGCACTGCTCCTCATCCTTGAGATGCATCCATTACTACCTCTTCCAACCAAATAACCTCAAGCTCCCATCCTTCTCTGTGTCCCTCTATCATTTGTGAAATTATTGTATTTGGATAAACAACCTTCAAACTCTTGCCTGTTCTGACCTTCTACCATCCTGTGGGTGTGTTGACAATGTCCCTCTCATTCTCTGGAATGGAAATTCTTTATTGAAGGTCCATGTTAAGCAAACACGATTCTCTATGAATCCTACAAAGCAAAACCTGACCTGGATTAAGTATCTTAGTGCAATGTCCTGATTGTCCTCAGATGTCCCTAATCAACACACAGTCCTCAGTTACTTAATGTAATCTGTAAAAATTTTGCTGTGCGTTTTCCTTCCTTCATGCCTCCTCTGAGCTTCTCTCCTTATGCTTCATGTTTCGCTATCAGTTTCCTTCCTACGTGTTTATTGTTTTTATTGATAAATTATACTTTAATATATAGAATGAATGAATTTCAGTCTTACTACTAAATTGAAATATTCTTCCCTTATACAATGTAGAGTCTTATTCTATGGCAAAAGAATCCCAGGCATTGTTAAGTATGTTCAAGAGAAATCTGGAATGCAGAGAAGGTGGGAACAGTCCTATGGAGCCCACATTCATGATTTTTTTCCTACAGAACCTAGAGGCTTTACACTTTATTGCCTGACCAGAGCCTGACTAAATGTTGGCAAGACATATCCTGTCACATTTTTGTAGACTTCCACCAGGTTCTGTCTGGCCCACCCAGTCCTCTCCCACCATAGCCTCAAGACAAGTCACACAGCCATCTTTAGTACCAGATTCCTAACTCCCTCAATCAACTGCCCACCCAAGAATTCCAAATCTTTAAAATGATTCCAAGTCAGAAGTCCAAGGAAGCTCTTCCTGATGCAGGCCAAGGCATCTGATTTTGTTTAATTACATCTTCTGGAACAGAACTTCCCAATAAATATTCAGCAAACATAGGTTGGTGAAGGTAAAAACTCTTTGCAAAGTAGAAGTAAAACATAATATAGTTACATAAATTTGGGGAGCATTGTGTTAAGGAAAATAAACCAAATTTCCCAGGGCTTTCAACATGCTATTATACCTTGTGAATGCCTAAACTTCCAGGTTCTTTTAATCAAAATCCAGTAACTTTTTTTCAAAATGCATCTGTGAAAAATAAGATTAATAATACCAGTCATTGCAATGGCCTCCCCTGAAGGTAAAGGATGCTTCCCCCCCTCACTGATGTTGGTCCTGGTGATGTGACCCTCAAGTAATCTACTCCCTCCTGCTGTGCCTTACCTCCTAAAATTCCCAGGGCCTCCCCACATCTCTCGGGGTTCTACGTTCATACCTCCACCATGGCAGACAAAGTTGCTGACACACTCCAAATCTAGCTTCAGCCTCCACCCCTTCTATTTATTTCTATCTTTCATGGTTAATATGTTCCCTCCTCCCAATTGAGATGGTTTTAAGTTTTTGGATTTCAGTGAGCTTCTCCTATTATGCCCCAGGAAGACCAAATTTATTTGTTTCTATTTAAACTTGTACCAGACATAGTGGGCCATGTCTGTGAGGGAGAGCTCACAGGCTATGGCAGGAGGATTGTTAGTTCAAGAACAAACAGCAAAACAATAACTAAGCTTCCAGGCTGAACTCTGAACAAATCATCATAAGAATAGACGTGTGGGATTGGCCAGTCTCTGAGCTACTGACAACGACTGTAGGAAGAGTTAAGTCCATCTCACGGAAGTAGAGTTCATGGAAAGCAGTTTGGGAAAATGAGCTCTGGGGCCCTTCAAAGCCCCTCCTCCTACCAGCCCATCATTGTTCTCTAGTGTTCAACAAAATTGGGGCAGCCTTTTGGATTGGGGATACTTTATCTTTCCTTGCAAGACACAGATTCATTGCTCTATGTGAGAGTTCTAGTTTGTGAACTGAGATGGGTGGGACTACCACCTAGACAAACTGGGACTTTCAGGGCTAACAAATGTCAGAGATGCCAAGGACCAGGTCCCCTGAATCCTAGCACTGATAACTTTTTTTTTTTCAAATCACTGCTATCCCTCTGAAATTTTATAAAAAGATCACATGCCTTTTGTGTATTTGATCCCAGTTCAGATCCACTGTTTTATTTGGAAAGACATCAAATAATGACTTCAAAAACAAAACTCTCCAGGTGAATAGTAAGAGTGTGCATTGTATGATTTTAAGCATTGATTCTAAGAAGCCTTCCATTTATTTAGTCAAACAAAAATAGAAATCCAGTGTCCTGTTATCCAATAGTTCAAGCAACTTTAAAAGCTACTTCAGAAGGATGGAGAGTTGTGGGAAATGACTAAATGACACTGAAAGCAGCACTCTATGCTTTAAAAGTCCAAAAATTAGGCAATCTGTGTGGCAGAAAGATAGGACCTACAGAAATCAGGACATGGCCTTGAACGAGTCCCAGAACTGATAATGTAGGCAAATCATGTGCTTAAGTACTGAAACCAATAGCTGGGTGTCCGATATGTTTTAAAACATTCCTGTTGAATCTGTTTGAAGGTAGAGAGTCTCTTTATCATGTCTTTGTATGCAACATCTGCTATTGGCCAGGTTGCCCAAGCACAATGCACACTGATTTGATGATGTAAACTATCAACTCGGTGCCTACCCCAGAGTTCTTTGGAAGCATTCAGGCAAGGCTGCAAGGTTTTCATCACCAAAAATATGTGTCTGGCAAAGCACTGCCACACATTTCTTGTGTGACAGGAAATAGCAAACTTGTAAAGGGCACTTTGGCTATTTTATCCAGTTATGCACTCATGTATATTCACGCTGCTTTACTGGACAATGAGATATAAATTGAGTTCTCAGGGGTGAGGACCAGAGTAGTGAAGTACTTACCTTGCATGCACAGGGCCCTTGGTTTGATTGCCAGCATCACAACAACCATTACAAAGGGCTTCCATGGACCAGCACCTGTCTGGGAATGATGCTTTCATAAACAATACAGACAAATCCTCCAGCTGTACGGAGCCAATATTCTAGTGAAGGTGAGTGAGTGGCAGATGAGCTAAAAGTTCTTCATATGGCGAAAGTGAGAACTTCCTTGGAAACCACTTAAGCATTAATGGAGATAGGGAATGGAAGGAACTAAAATATTAAGAAAGGCAGTCAGGGAAGATCTTACTGCTACGGTGACATTCATCTCTATGTTCGGCTTAAAAGTCTGTAGCTACTGAGCTGGTCTGCATCAGGGACTCCATCCAGTCAGAGGGAAGAACAATGTAAGACAACATCGGGGATCTTCCCTGAGGTGCTAAATGCAACCTAGGAAGACTTTGAAAAGGAAAAAAAAATAGAAAAGATTTTCAAAGAAATGTGGTGATATCTTGCTTGTACAAATAAAGCCTGTCTGAAGACCAGAGAATGGAGCTTGCCAGTAGTTAACCATAGAGTTCTGGAGGTCTGTACAGACAGACAGAAGAAATGAGATGGCTGGGTGCAGACAGGATGTGCCCAGAGTCCAAAACCTCATTAGTACTGAAACCTGGGAGTAAACTTATCTAAAACTATGTCCTAGCCAATATATTGCTATCTTAGTTAAAATAATTAATAATTAATAAAAGACCAAAAGAAGTTACTTTGGAATGAACATGTCTCAATTGAAGTACTATATGCAGTTTTCTGGAAGTTCATTCCTTTGTTAGATAAAGATAGAGAGAAATCTGGGGGATAGATTCAATAGATAGGTGAATGGATAGAAAGATAGGTAGATAGATGATAGATAGATAGATAGATAGATAGATAGATAGATAGATAGATGAAAGATGGAAGAATGGATAATGGATAGATGATGTGTAGATGGGTGGACAGATAATAGATAAACAGATGATAGATAGGCAGAAAGAAAGAAAGAAAGAAAGAAAGAAAGAAAGAAAGAAAGAAAGAAAGATCTTTTAAAGACATAGTCATAGCATATTCTGAAGTGATAGAAAGCATGTTCTATGAGATATGACTAAAGGAACTAAGAACTCAATGTAAAATGTGACTTGAAATATGCAAATTTGAGGTAACAACTATGTACATTATTAGGAAACAGGCTTATGTGTTGAGTTTAGCCAAATGTCCCTCTCCTCTTAGTTTTGTAACCTTGTATTAGTTTGTCACCTGTAAAGTATGTATGATGATCACTTCTCAGCATTGCTGTTGGGAAGCACTAGACACAATGAATATGAAGTCTCTTAGCACAGCCCTGAAACATGGAAAGTGGTCCAGATAATAATGTCATTGCTATTTGTGGAGATAAAGAGCAAAAATTCTACCTTCATATTGGGAAGAGCACTCAAAAATGGCAGCTACCAGAGAACCTGCTTCCAAGTGAACATCCATCCCAAGAGGCATGAAGCCAGAATTATGAGGGTAAAGGAATCGAAACTAGTTTTTTCATTAAATACCAAGTCTTTTTAAAAGATGAGCACCTATAGGAGAACAGGCTTGCTTTCTCTTACCTACAGAATGACATCATCAGCAAGCAATGGCCATGCTTCCAGTTGTAGTGGTGGCTAAGACTCAAGAAGACATGCTCCGTCATTGCCACTCTCCTTGGGCTCAGTGGCATACCCCTTCTAGATGAATGAAAAAAGGACTATTTGTAATCTCAGGATCAGGAGAACCTTCTTTAGGAAAGCAAGCCTGAAGGGAAAGGTGACGTATCAATTAGGCTTTTTAAAGAAGACAGGAGAAGAAAATTAATGTATTCTTACTTGTAAAAATAGCTAAATGACCCAGAGGAAGAGAGTTAGTTGACTGGTTAAAAACAGACCTGAAAAGACTGCAGTTGATGTGTTTCAGTCTCCCAGATAATGGTAGTTTGTGGTTTACAAAGCGGGGTCTGGGTGGTCGTTTTACTGCCTCACACCAGCACACAACTGGAGGAATGATTTTATCCATGCCTTTTTCCTTAATGAAAATGTTTTGAGGACCTGAGCTGCTCTTTGCCTTGTCATTTGAACTATATTTCATCATAGCCTGTTTTACTATGTTTGGAAATTCATCTAGGATGATGAAAAAGCCAAATTACAAACTGGCCTCAGGCCTTAGGGAAATATCTTGGGCATTTTGTTTACTGGCCAGAAGGATGAAATCTGCCCCTTTGAAGCCTTCCTCTTGACACATTTCTGGCCAGACTACACTGAGGAAGTAGATGTTTTAAGTGCAGGGGATGTTGTGTTTCTCTTTCAGGCTTTGGAAAGTTTCCACAATATGAAACTGATTAAAGTGGAAGCACGCTCTGTCCCACATGGTGCTCCTCCTGCCTGCAGACCTCCCCCCCTCAATCCTGGACAGACCACTCTCCATACATCCTCAGATCTTTGCTCAAAGGTGTCAGTCTCTCACCAAGCTGTCCCTGACAGCCCTCCAATATGCAGCCCCACCCTACCCCCACATTCCATACCTTTACAGCCTTGGCTTCTTCAGTCTCCTGAATCTCCTGAACATGATTTCCAATTATGTATTTATCTGAGTGGTGATGCTTTAGTCTCTCTCCCCAGTAAATATAAGACGTCATTTGATAATGTTTTCTACTGTGTCCTAATGGCACAGCATTGGCAGAAGGTACATGCTTAAAAACTGTTTATTGAATGAGTGAATTCATTCCAACTTTTTATGACATTAAATCACACAGATAAATAACTCAATGTCAACTTACCAATAACTAAAGCTTCTTGGAAAGTTAAGAGGTCAACCCAGTCTCTCACCACAGCTTCATGTTCCATCCTTTGGTCCCCATCTTCTATTTTTAAACTTTGCCACTGGGCATGTTTTAAAATATGGCACCAGACATGGTGGTATATGCTCTTAATCCCAGCACTGGGGAGGCAGAGAACAGAGGATCTCTGTGAGTTTGAGGCCAGCCTGGTCTACACAGTGAGTTCCAGGTCATTCAAGGCTACACAGAGAAACCCTGTCTCAAAAACAACCAATAAAACAAAACAAACAAATGTCAGTGTAGGGAATGTGTGTGTGTGTGTGTGTGTGTGTGTGTGTGTGTGTGTGTGTGTGTGTGTGTGTGGTGTGAATCCTTGAAAACATGATTCTGTTTGTTCATCAAAGTCAGACAAAGGTCCTTTGGAAAAACAGGTTGATGAGGTCTTTCTTGACTGGCCACGTGGGCAGAAGTATTCATGTCAAAGGGCATGAGTGGCACAGTGTATTGGCCCCAGACCTGACACACTCCACAGTACTACCTAGGACTACAATGTTTGCCAATAGTGTTTTGGGGGAAAGTAAAAATTTAACTTAAAAGCTGGATGTGTTTAGGTAATAGGGATGATTTCTGACCTGGCAGCCTGAGAGACTTGCTTCCGGTCTTTTCAATGCCCTCTCCCCACAATGCGCAGCATAAATTCACAAGGGCAGGAACTAAGTCCACCATACTACTCTGCTTACAGCAAGTACTCAGTAATCAGTTAGTAGACATGGCTGACCAACTCTGTCTTGGACAACCTATCAGCAGAGACCTCCAAAGCCAAGAACACAAAGAGACTAGAAACTGGAAAATTAAAACAGAATACTCAAGAACTGTGGCAGATCTGTAAAGACATTAACTTAAGATGTACCTAATATAAATATCTGCAGAAGGGGAGAAGAAGTTAAACAAAACTTAGTTTCCTTATTTTTAGTTAACCTAATATAACATCTTTTTCTAAATAACATCAAGAATATATGAAGTTATGTATAGTTGGTTATCTCTTGTGTGTGTTTTTGCATGCTTAGCTATAAGTAAAATGAATAACAGCTATGGCAGGAGGCAGGAGGCAGGAGGCAGGAGAAAGGAATTTCGTCATTGCTATTATAAGACACTCACAGTACCCACAGAAACTATGTGGAATTTTTTTTGAAAATATAGTTATGTTCATTGTAAACTTAAGTTGCAAAATCCAGTGTAACCACTGAAAAAAGTAAACAAGAAAGAGAGGGGGAGGAGATGGAGGGAAAACAGTAGAGGGGAAGGGGGGGAGGAGAAGGAGGAAGAGAAATACTAAGAAAGGAGGAAAATGGAATGGTGTAAGATGTCCAAAATGACAAAAGGCAGAAAAAGAGTGAAGACAAACTCTGGACCAAAGAACAAATAGAAAACCACAAGTCTGGCAGATATTGATCTATTTATCAGCAATCACCTTGAATACCAGTGGTCAACAGAGAGACTGCTGGGGTGGCCCAGATCACACCCAACTATATGTTAGGGAACCATTAATAGATCAAGAAATAGGGCATCCCAGCACTCCTAAGAGTCCCCTTTCATTCTCCCCCTACTATCGTCCTCACTACTCTGATGTCAAGGGACAGGGGTTAGCTTCTGGTTTTGGCAAGCCCTCATTTTGGACCTAGTTTCCTTCACAGCACATTTGTTCATGATCATCATCTAGATCTTTCAAAGACAAAATGACTGCCAAATGGTCAAAAGCACAAGTATCCTCATGAACCTTAGGGATACACTGACCTGGTGTAGATTGCAATGTCTGAAGCTGGGCCTATCAGAGGGAACAGCTTTCTGGAATCAAACACCACATTGCAAGGTTTGCCTTCTCACCTGCACATTAAGATGGACAAAAAAAAATTGCAGTCAATCCTGACTTGCATTAGTTTATAAGCTCAAATTTTCCTCAATCCTATATTTCTCCCAAAGAATGCAACTTTGTGTCATGGGAGCCCAGTGCACCCTCCCAGCTCACTATCCAGCTGTGTTTTTATGATGATTTGCAAATTTTGAGTCTTTTCTGTACCAGAATAGACCTACCTTGTTTGTGATTTGGATGTGTGTGTTGGGGGGAATGCATACAGGTTGTACATGCGTGTGTAGGTGTGTGTAGGTCAGAGGTCAACCATGGGTGTTGTTCTGCACATGGCTGCCCATTTTGCCAACTTGTGGTTTAGAGATAAGATCTCCCACTGGAACCTGAGGCTCACCCATTAAAGGATTAAACTAGGCTTGCCAGCTAGAGAGCCCCAAGGATCCTCCTATTTCCACCTCTATAATTACAAGCACAGACCACTGCTAGGAGGAAATGGAGCTGCTGATCTAACTGGAAACCATTTGGGTGGGTTTTCTCTCCTCCCCTACATCCTCATCCTCAGCCCTTACCCCTACTCCCTACTCCCAATGTGAACTGGATCTTCTCTGTTAAGTTCTTACCTTCACCTCATTTGACACCTAGATATTCTCACTTCCCCAAGGAAGTTTATAGGCTCAGCTAACAAACCTCACCACATCAGGGGGCTACAGGTACAACAGGCACACCTCAACTAGATGCAACCCCTCTTCCCATTTCCTCTGCACCTTGGAATACAGGACTTCCTCTCCATTCCCTGTTGCTCAGGTATCAGGCAGAGCCTGGCTGTAGGTCTGTGGTGTGGACTATTGATCAATTACATGACATGAAACATCTCCTTCCCCTGAGTCAGTCCTAAAGAAGAGACTTCTATTCTGTCTCATCAGAGCCTGCCATATTACTGTCTGTCAGTCAGTGGCATTAATAACTCTCCTAATAGGTAGCTTACCCCAAAGACAATTCACCCCAGTGTCTTCCTTGAACCCCCAAACATAAAATATTTCAATAATGTAAACAAGTGTGAGCATTGACAGTAATGTCCCAAGTGGCACAAGTCAGTTCCTAGGGTAGCCATGGCAATAGCAGTCTCAAAACATCCACACTTTTACAGACAGTCTCTTTGTTTTTTCCACCTCACTCTCAACCCCTTCTGCCAAACCAGATGCCAATATCTCTGCCTCCATGCTCCACACCAGACCCAAGCAGTCATTGCTAAGGACGTAGTACATCCAGCCTAACTGTTAGGACAGAGCTTCCATATTTTAAGTCATACAGCATTCTTTGCCAACCTTACTGGAAGCATGTTCCTGTATGCACTTATCTTGCTCCACTTGCTACCAGCTAAATTTATCTGCATGGAGTTTAACAACATGGAATTATTAATTAGGGACCAAGCTATTTCCTGAGCACTTTTGACACAACTGTGATTTTCTGACTCTGTGATTCACTCTCATTGCTTTAGCCATCTGTCCCTGAGCAAAATGCATTTTTGTTTTGTTTTGTTTTCAGTTGTTTGTTGTTCTCTTTTCTTTCTTTCAAAGACAGATTTGGAAAAGCAATTTTTGGAAGAGCGATTTTCCTCTCTTTACAGAATACTTTTAATTAAAATGCACTAGCACAATCCCATTAGGGCTCCAACCATGCCTTCTCAAATCCTCTCATTGCAGCTTGTTATCAGAGTTTTTTAGGGTCAGCCCTCAGGCTCTAGCAGCCCTAACAAGCTCGGCTCTGACCTCTGTCCCCAATATGCTAACTAAAGAGAAAACTAATGGAGTAGAGCAGAGAAAGATATATCCACCATAGCCATATTAGAAAGAGGAACAAATACACAGATCCAATGACTGTCCCCTGACAAGTCCATTTTCAGGGTCCCGATGAGAGTGAATTAAAATGGAAGGCAAACTGCCCTTCCTGGTCAAAGTGTGGCAAGCATGTCATTGACACAGCATTGGCTCAGCTCCTTCCTCACATTTGTGAACACTGTGTGATATTTTTCCTGGAGACAAACTTCCCCTCTAGCTAGTAACAGGACTCCAATGTAAGACTCCTGGGAGACATTTCAATTCCCTAAGGTCCATTGTCTCAACAGTCTGAGAGCTGGGAGGGGAACAAGTGTCCCTCTATAGGATATCCTTACTCCTGCTGGGACAGTTACAGCTGGTCATCTCTGTAAATGTTAAATGAAGT